CTAGTGTGGCGCAAAATGTCAACACAGTCACTGTAATAATGAAATCTGCACACAATGGCTCGTGGACGATCACCGGGCTTGGGTTTGGGTTGGAGGGTCCGGTGGGACCGGTCCAAAAGCGGCTCCTTTACCAGACTGAACGCTTCCTTCAGTAAGGCGGCTACAGCAGCAGTGGTACAGGTGTCAGGACCCTCCGGTACTCCCACTATCCTAATGTTGTTATGCCGTGATCAGGACTCCAAGTCTTCACATTTATTTTCCAGCTTGGCTACATTAGCTGTGCGGCACTCGATGGTAGTTTTCATCCAGGCAATGTCATCGGAGCACTCGGTGAGTGCGTTCTCCATCTCTCCGACCGTACCTTTTAGCTTGGACATGGTAGCATCGGTATCGGTATCATTCGCCAACTATGACTTCACAGCTTGCAGGTCGAGCTTGATAGTAGACAAAGTCTTCCCGTGAGTATCGTGGAGTTCCTTTTTAAAAATATCAGCAATATCTTTCCTCACCGAGGCCAGCAACTCGAGCTTGAGGGCAGCGATGTCAAGGTTAGCATGTGTCGAGGCGACCTCTGCAGGAGCGGATGGCTCACTCGAGGATGTAGTCGCAGTTAATGGACCAGTTGTGTATGAATAGTATTGCGAGTTTTAGAGTTCTTTCCAGCCATTTTACGCAGTCCAGAGTCAAACTTCCCAACAAAAAGTACTGCGGAGTAAGACAATACTAAATATGTGATGAAAAAGCGCAGATGAATTACAATTTTAATTGAAATCAGCAGGAGCTTCCAAACTCACGTCCTACTCCATTAAAGCTCAGCAGCGCCCCCAGCCTTCTGTAAACTTGAATGGGATAAAGAGTTTTAATCTTACAGCTCTTCTAGACTTTCAAAATATAATTGGACTGAATAGAGAATTCCATTTTGCGGGGGTTGTGACGCTCAAAAAAATGTATCCATCGTTTTACAGCCGCTCCTTTCACAATAATCTTATGGGAAAAAGTATTTTTGGGTCAATGTGCATCTCGTGACAGATGCTATTGCTGTTATTACATGGTTTGGCCATTATGTCAAACTGACTTCAAAACCTGGCTGAAAAAGCTCACACATATTGTGTCTTTTGGTCAGAGCTGCAACAAAAAATTATTTTCCTTCTCATAAAATTGTGTCATCACAATTTAGATAGATAGATAGATAGATAGATAGATAGATAGACTGTATTAATCCCCGAAGGGAAATTGGGTCGTCATAGCAGCCAGGTACATTTAAATACAATAAAATACAATAGAATAAAATACAACAATAGAATAAAATACTTAGACAGAAAAGATAAAAAAAAGATAGATAAATAGTGCCAAGAAGTTGTAGCTGCAAGATGGTGGTAATTGTACTGATGATATGATGGTAGTGTTATTAACAATAAGCTATAATAATAATATATAATAATAATAATAGTATTATTATTATTATTATTATTATAATATGTATATATAATATGATGACTGAACAGATACATGTGTACACATAGATATTATACATTAGTAGTGATATAATGTAAACATGTGTCATATATTCAGCCTGTGCAAGGTGTGCATACATACATAATGTAATATAAATACACAATATATATATATATACACAAGATATGATATGATATATAGCATATGTATAATAGATACTTGACTATACAAGAAAGATATACATACAATAGATAATATATATTGTAATATAATAATGTATTTTGGAACTAAAGATGACTTCAGATTTGTCAGACCAAACAAAGATAATGAATTTATCATTAGAGAAGACTGAAAGACAGCAAATGCTCACCTATTGACAAGCTGAAAGCAGGGAATTTGGGGCATTTTCTTAACATAACAATTTAAATGAATTTTCTGTAATTTGACCGATTGACTATTTTTCTCACTCTACTGTAATGTGTCACAGCTGTATATAATATGTACATATAATATGCTGTCCACACCCTGCTTTTGAGCCCAAGCTGTATCCAGTTCAGTCTGGGCTGGTATGACCCACGCTTTCTCTGAACAGGCGTCAGGTGCATGCTCATGTTCATGATCAGTTAACTAAGTCTGTAACCCTGAGTGTGTTATACCCTTTGTCTCATACAGACCGTCTGCCATGTCCCCCAGCCCCCTGCTGTCCCAACTCACTGCAGTCCACTGGACTATGCCAAAGGTAAAGCAACAAAAGAACCCCTGACTGGATCAAAGTCTAGATACTTGCTTTGAAAACACCCGACCTGACCCATTAGCCAGAGAATATGCAAACCCAGTACTCAGTGGTGGGTTCTGGCTATGGTTCATTGGCTTTGATTGGCCTTTTGATCTTATTTAGACCACCTTCAGATCATTTTATAGTTCTAACCTAGACCAGTGTCAACTATTTTGATAATTGATTTATCATTTTGAAATTGATCTGATTTCAGCTTCTCAAATATGAATATTTTCTGCTTTCTTTAGTCCAGTTAATGGAATATCTTTGGGTTGTGGACAAAACTAGGACATCAACTTTGGGAAACACTGATATATCAAACAACTGTTCGATCAATCAATAAAATTATCTACAGATTAATCGATAATGAAAATAATCATTTGGTGCAGCCCTATTTTAACCTCAGTCTGCTGGATGATCATGTAAAACTCCCTCATTTAACCATCCCTGATACCCCTTGTTGAGGATGAATTCAAGGAACTGCTCATTAACCAACTAGATGTTTAAAAATTATCAAGAAAATAGTTCGACATCTTCTGGCAATTTTCAGGCGTAATTTTATGGTCACAAAAGGTCTGTGATTGACAGAATTTATCCAGCAATTTCCGTCATGTTCTCTGTTCCCTGAGCGTCTTTTAGTTAGCTGAAGCATTTACTTCGAATGTCATTTCTTTTCAGTAGTCTCTTTGTCTGAAGACCATTGTCAGTATCCTTGTTCCTGATGTCTATACATTATGTTCTTGGAAGGAAAGCAGAAGATGCCCTGATTAAGTCAAAGAATGAAGTTCAAGGAAAACACAAGGTTATCCAAGCTGGAAGGGGATATTACAGAGATTACAGAATTCTTAATCTGTACTTCCAACCCTAAATAGAACACTGAGAAATGATCCACTGTGAAAAGTGGAAACTGTGCAGAGGAGAAAATCTCCCGACTATGATGCCCCCGGCCCCCCCGCCTGGGGGCGGCTGTGCTCAGAGGTAGAGCGGGTTGTCCACTAAATCAAAAGGTTCGATCCCCGGCTCCTCTCGCTGCATGCATGCTTGCATTGCTTGAGCAAGATACTGAACCCCAAATTGTTCACTAACACACTGCTTCAAGATGCAATTGCCCTGATTAAAAAAGTGTGTTGGATACAGTTTGGGATGGACTGGGGATGCATTGTTCCTAACATCTTTGCATTGGTAAAAAACTATTTATGTATATATAATTATTAGTAGAGGCCCTATGCCTCTATTATTTAGAAACGTGACCAATAGTTTTATATTTAGATGGATTCCTCTTCTCTAAACTGTTTGTCAAGCTGCTTAATCAAACTATCTGTACCATATTGAATTGCATAGCATTACATTCGATTGCATCTCATTGTATCACGTTGAATCACATTGTTTTGAATTAAATCTTGTCAAATCACACAGCATCACAATAGGGTGGATAGGTATAGCATCGGCCTCAGTGATGGACATGCAGATCCCTAATGTGTACTACTACTTTTAGTTGCAGCTCTCTCTGTGCAATCTGTCCATGTCATTGCCTATGCACAACTCTGTGAAGTCAACAACGATGACAGTTGATTTCTGTATTTATATGTTGGGGGTGATGAGCTTTGTAGGCAGAGGCATGTTCAGAATTGGGTCCAGGGTAGTGTATGAGGCAACATTGTGGCTTTTTCACAGATTTTCTTCTCCTTGTACAGGAGTGCAAGATTTTCTTCTCCTTGTACAGGAGTGCAAGATTTTCCCAACACATCAGAATAAAAAGGGGGTTAAATTAATCTGATATGCTTAAACCGACTTATTTGTTGCAGCCTCCTCAACCTCCTCCTTAGGTGTTTTGGCATTGTTGTGTTAAATTAATATTTATGTTTATGTCTATTGTGGGGGGATTAGCTGTTTTAGCAGAATCCCCACTGCTGCTTGGATTCTTTGAGAGCTCCCTCAAACAGCAGAGCCTTTTCCACCAATTCTACATGTACAACATGTGCAAGATACTGAACCCCAAATTGCTCCCGATGCATAGCATGGGTGTATGACTCTGTGTGAATGCTAGTTTCCATTCGGGTGAGCAGTTGGCACCTTGCATGGCAGCCACTGCCATCAGTGTATGACTGTGTGTGAATGGGGTGAGTGTGGCATGTAGTGTACAGCGCATTGAGTGGTCAAAAAGACCACCATTTACCATGTTGTTGGCCACACACTCTTCCACCACCTACTCGGAAGCTCTAGATGTTCGTTAAAATATGTATTTGATGGATGAATACATTGCCGCTTTTTGAAATTTTAACACTCAATTTCAGTTCAATTTCAGTAACATTAATACACTGATTCTCTAAAGGTCCAGAGTGTACACCATCGATAATGTGTAATCAATTGAATCTAAGAATTGTGTTTTCGTGAGACGTTTTTATTTACAGATGCAACCCGCAGGTTGCCTTTCATGGAGTCCGCCATTTTAAATGGGGCTGTGTATTGTCAAGAATCTTGCAATGTGATACGTATCACATTACAAGGGTTACAATTTAATATATTACGATAATGTAAGCAGGAAACTGTCCACCAAATGCATAAAATAAAAATAATAAAATGTTAAATGTAAAAAGTTTAGCATAACAAAGTTTACAAAATACTTTGCGTGCTGTCCAGTAGTTCCTTAAAGGGTTCTGATTGAACCACTGTCACTGGACACAAACACATAGCTTAAAGCCTGGCAAGAAGAAGAATCCATCTTTCCACCTAAATTATTTAAAGAAATAAAAACAAGAGGAGTTCAACTCCTCCTCCTCACCTATAAAGCTCTTCATGGTCAGGCCCCTTCATATCTTAAAGAGCTCATAGTACCCTATTACCCCACTAGAACACTACGTTCTCTGAATGCTGGGCTACTTGTGGTTCCTATAGTCTCTAAAAGTAGAACAGGAGCCAGAGCCTTCAGTTACCAAGCTCCTCTCCTGTGGAACCAGCTTCCAGTTGTGGTTCGGGAGGCAGACACCCTCACCACATTCAAGAGTAGGCTTAAGACATTCCTCTTTGATAAAGCTTATAGTTAGGGCTGGATCAGGTGAGTCCTGAACCATCCCTTAGTTATGCTGCTATAGGCCTAGACTATCGGGGGATTTCCCATGGTGCACTGAGCTACTCTCTTCCTCTCTCTTTCTGCACTCATTCATGTCCCATTAATGCATGTTACTAACTTCACTTCTTCCCCGGAGTTCTTGTGCTTTCTCGTCTCGCAGGTTCTCATGGATCCTGGTGGAGCCTCCTGCCATGGTCCTGCTTGACTGCCATTGCCAATACTGTTGTTGCTGTGCACCTGTCTGTCTGTCTGTCGCTCGCTCTCTCTCTCTGCCTCTCTCTCTCTCTCTCTCTCTCTCTCTCTCTCTCTCTCTCTCTCTCTCACCCCAACTGGTCGAGACAGACGACCACCCACCTAGAGCCGGAGGATCTGTCCTAGGTTTCTGCCTTTTAACAGGCAGTTTTTCCTTGCCCTTGTCGCCAAGTGCTTGCTCATGGTGGTACTGTTGGGTCTCTGTAAATAATGTTTTAAAGAGTTCGGTCTAGACCTGCTCTATTTGAAAAGTGTCCTGAGATAACTTCTGTTATGAATTGGCGCTATACAAATAAAATTGAATTGAATTGAATTGAACATAAAAATCTAATAAAAATTAAAACCAACTCCTCAGTAGTACAAAATAAGAGAATGAAATGTAGACTGTTAAATATCAGGTCTCTGTCTTCAAAAGCTGTTTTAGTGAATTAATTAATATCAGATTATGATATTGATTTACTTTGTCTTACTGAGACCTGGTTGTCCCACGAGGAGTATGTTAGCCTAAATGAATCCACCCCCCCAGTCATATTAATACTCACATTCCTCGAGGCACCGGCCGAGGAGGTGGAGTAGCAGCCATATATGATTAGAGCGTTTTAATGGACCCTAAACCTAAACTAAATTATAATTCATTTGAAAGTCTTTTTCTTAGTCTTTCTTACCCATCCTGGAAAACACTGCAGCCAGTTCTGTTTGTTATAGTGTACCGCGCTCCTGGACCGTACTCTGATTTTATATCTGAATTCTCAGAGTTTTTATAAGTTTAGTCCTTAAATCAGATAAAGTAATTATTGTGGGTGATTTTAATATTCATGTGGATGTTGAAAATGACAGTCTTAGTAATGCGTTTATATCATTAATAGACTCAATTGGCTTCTGTCAGAGTGTAAATAAACCAACTCATTGTTTTAATCACACTCTTGACCTTGTTCTATCATATGGCATTGATATTGAACATTTAATAGTCTTCCCACATAATCCTTTCCTATCTGACCATTATTTAATAACTTTTGAATTCATACTATTAGATTATAAGCCATTAGGCAAAACTTCCTACAGCAGATGTCTATCTGACAGTGCTGTAGCTAAATTTAAGGAGAAGATTCCATCAGTGTTTAATTCAATGCCATGTCTGAATTTAACTTTTTAGTCCTGTAATAATTTTAGTCCCTCCGAAATTGATAATCTTGTCGATAGTGCTGCAGGCTCACTACGATCAACATTAGACTCTATCGCTCCTATAAAAAGGAAATTATTAAAACATAGGAAACTAGCACTGTGGTACAACCACCCGTCAATTAAAGGAAAAAGCTAGGAAATCTGAAAGGAAATGGTGCTCTTCCAAATTATCAGAATATCGCTCAATTTGGCATGATAATCTTAAAACCTATAGAAAGGCCCTCCGTAATGCCAGAGGAGCCTGTTACTCAGCACTAATAGAAGAAAATAAGAACAACCCTAGGTTCCTCTTCAGCACTGTAGCCAGGCTGACAGAGATTCACAGCTCTATTGAGCCACATATCCCCATAACCTTAAGTAGCAATGACTTCATGAGCTTCTTTTATAATAAAATTATTACTATTAGAGAGAAAATTAATCACCAACTGCCATCAACAGTTATCAGTGGCTCTCCAAGTTCAGGAACTTTAACTAATGTAAACTCAGTTATATATTTAGACTGTTTTTCTGCTATCGATCTTCATCAGTTAACTTCAATAATTTCTACATCGAAGCCATCAACCTGTCTGTTATACCCGATCCCAACTAGGCTGCTTAAAGAAGTCGTACCCATAATTGGCACTTCTTTACTGGATATGATTCATCTTTCTTTATTATCAGGATATGTACCACAGTCCTTTAAAGTAGCTGTAATTAAACCCCTTCTTAAAAAGCCTACTCTTAACCCAGGGGTTTTAGCTAACTATAGACCAATCTCTAACCTCCCCTTCCTCTCTAAGATTCTGGAGAAAGTAGTTGCCAAAGAGTTGTGTGACTTTTTACATAACAATAGTTTATTTGAGGATTTTCAGTCAGGATTTAGACCTTCTGATTGCTTCAGACAATGGACTTGTCTCTGTACTTGTATTATTGGATCTTAGTGCTGCATTTGACACCACTGACCATAATATTCTTTTACAGAGACTTGAGCATCAAATTGGCATTAAAGGAACCGCACTAAGCTGGTTTAAGTCATACTTATCAGATCGTTCTCAGTTTGTACATGTTAACGATGAATCTTCAATAAATACTACAGTTAGTCATGGAGTTCCACAAGGTTCTGAACTTGGACCAATACTATTTACTTTATATATGCTCCCTTTAGGCAACATTATTAGGAATCATTCCATTAACTTTCACTGTTATGCAGATGATACGCAGTTATATCTATCGATCAAGCCTGATGAAATTAATCAATTATTTAAATTACAAACATGTCTTAAGGACATAAAATCCTGGATGAGCTGCAATTTTCTGATGTTAAACTCAGAAAAAAACTGAGTTCTTGTACTTGGCCCCAAAAACCTTAGAGACTCACTGTCTAAAGATATAGTTACTCTAGATGGCATTACCTTGGCCTCTAGCACCACTGTCAGGATTTGTCATTTAACTCCCACATAAAGCAAACCTCCAGGACTGCCTTCTTTCATTTACGTAATATTACAAAAATTAGACACATCCTATCACAGACAGATGCAGAAAAACTAATCCATGCATTTGTTACTTCAAGGCTGGATTACTGCAACTCTTTATTATCAGGCTGCCCCAATAAGTCCATTAAAACACTCCAATTAATTCAAAACGCTGCAGCACGAGTACTGACAGGAACTAGAAAAAGAGATCACATCTCTCCTGTACTAGCTTCTCTGCACTGGCTCCTTGTAAAATTTAGAATAGAATTTAAAATCCTCCTCCTCACCTATAAAGCTCTTCATGGTCAGGCCCCTTCATATCTTAAAGAGCTCATAGTACCCTATTACCCCACTAGAACACTACGTTCTCTGAATGCTGGGCTACTTGTGGTTTCTATAGTCTCTAAAAGTAGAACAGGAGCCAGAGCCTTCAGTTACCAAGCTCATCTCCTGTGGAATCAGCTTCCAGTTGTGGTTCGGGAGGCAGACACCCTCTCCACATTCAAGAGTAGGCTTAAGACGTTCCTCTTTGATAAAGCTTATAGTTAGGGCTGGATCAGGTGAGTCCTGAACCATCCCTTAGTTATGCTGCTATAGGCCTAGACTACCGGGCGATTTCCCATGATGCACTGAGCTCCTCTCTTCCTCTCTCTTTCTGCACTCATTCATGTCCCACTAATGCATGTTACTAACTTCACTTCTTCCCCGGAGTTCTTGTGCTTTTTCGTCTCGCAGGTTCTCATGGATCCTGGTGGAGCCTCCTGCCATGGTCCTGCTTGACTACCATTGCTAATATCACTGATATTATTGTTATTATTATTATTATAAGTATTATTATAGCTACGGTTACTGTTGTTGCTGTTGTCACTGCTCATTGTCCCCAATGGTTGCTGTTGTCATGTTCATCATCATCAGTCACTACTATTAGTGTAGTTGTTGCTACTGTTGTTGCTGTGCACCTGTCTGTCTGTCTGTCTGTTTCTCTGTCTGTCTGTCTGTCTGTCTGTCTCTCTCTCTCTCTCTCTCTCTCTCTCTCACCCCAACTGGTTGAGACAGACGACCACCCACATAGAGCCGAAGGATCTGTCCTAGGTTTCTGCCTTTTAACAGGCAGTTTTTCCTTGCCCCTGTCGCCAAGTGCTTGCTCATGGTGGTACTGTTGGGTCTCTGTAAATAATGTTATAAGGAGTTCGGTCTAGACCTGCTCTATTTATATAAGTGTCCTGAGATAACTTCTGTTATGAATTGGCGCTATACAAATAAAATTGAATTGAATTGAATTGAATTGAATTGAATTAGAACTTAAGTGATTTTGGTTATTATCAAGAAAACCATGGAAAATGGCTAGATATCAGCTCTTAAATTAAACTCTTATGAGCTATTTTTGTTGTTATCATTATATTTGTCCAAACCAATGTACCTTTAGTTGTACCAGGCATTAAAATGAACAAGAAACTGAAGAAACAAGGGTGGTCTAATAATTTTTTTCCATGACTGTATGCATTTACTGTATGTCTGTGGTTTCAACCTTTTTCCTTAAGGGAGCACTTTTCTGACTCAGTGACATATTTTATGTATATTTCATATATTCAGTAATAACAACTGATTGTTGTTGATTGGCGTCTTGTTGACAGAATCAGTGTTTTATTCTCATTATTCTGTTAGCTCTCTTGTTTGAACTTTTCTAATGCAGGACGTGCATTTTATCAGAGAGTGAAGGCTCTGTGAATATAGCTTGTGTCCAGGTCTTCACAAAGCCCTTATCCTGTGAGATTTTAAGAAAACCTTTTATCTTAAATAATAATCTAAAATAACCTAAAAAACCCCTCAAAACCATCTGTAAAGTTTTGGTATGTTAAAGGTTGTATTGGTATTTCAGTTGTTATGATTTTAACATTAGACAACAATCACTGCTTTCATTTGAGTCAGTGTTTCTGATCCTGATGTAGATCCAGTGTGAAGAAGCACTGTGGGTAATATCTTTCCTCTCAGCTCACAGGCAGAAACCTAGTGTAGGCTCCAGGAACATCTGCAGGGATTAACAATGAGCTGACAGATGGTGATTAAGAAATGCTATGGCTGATTATGGGTTCAGACTCTACAAGTAAAACCCAGCGTTAGCTCCGATGCCAGGAGCACAGAGGGGGGCAGTCTCTGATACAGTGCATACCTGTGCAGGGATCACTGAGGGGAGAAATGTGCGCCAAATCATAAAACAGCCCAGCAGTTTGGGTTTCACAGTAAACCTACACCACATCTCCATCTTTCTGCCTGCAGCACTAAATATAAACATGGACAGCTGAGGAGGGCAGGACCCAACGCTTCCTGGGGTTAAACTTGTGATTTATGCCAAAGAAACACCAGCAAAGCCTTTAATTGAGGGTAACTGCTGGCACTGGGACTTTATAGAACAACTGTTTCCAGACACACTTTATTAACACATAGATACAGCTGATCTTGGAATGTGCAGCTATTTTACCCCTCCTTATCTTAATAATTCAATTCAATTCAATTTTATTTGTATAGCGCCAATTCATAACAGAAGCTATCTCAGGACACTTTTCAAATGGAGCAGGTCTAGACCGAACTCTTTATAGCATTATTTACAGAGACCCAACAGTACCACCATGAGCAAGCACTTGGAGACAAGGGCAAGGAAAAACTGCCTGTTAAAAGGCAGAAACCTAGGACAGATCCTTCGGCTCTAGGTGGGTGGTCGTCTGCCTCGACGCTTAATACAACCCAACAGCGACATAACATGTTCATGAAAGCTTTTACATTTACTTCTTAACTGGTTGCATGAATGAAACACAGAGAGACAGCCAGTAGACAAACAGTGGACAGTATTGTGCTCTTGTGTATCAATGGTGAGAAAATTCACTTTACAGTCAGCTTAAAGTATAGCTTAAATAGTTTGGGTATTTTAAACCAGTGGCAACCTCCGTAGCTAGCAAATGAAGCCAACCTGGAAGTAAAAAAACCTGTTTGGGCTGGCTACAGTGGTAAGGATTTTTGGATTAGCTGGGAGCCAGGGGTGTCAGGACTGCTAAGATGGTGATGGCGTAGCAGCACAGAAGCAGAGCAATGCACTGCTGTGGACGGGGACAGCAGAAAACCATATTTTAGACACATAACAAGGCCCACCTAAAAAAAAAAATCTGTTTATGGCTGTCCCTAACTAACTAATGATGTTCTTAGTGGACTAGTAGGCATTATTCAAACATATTTTTTTTAATAACCGCCTGTTCAATTATAACGGCAAAACCGGTAATGATTCTGAATGTACCACAACAAGCAGTCATAGTGCTGGTTGGACCTTCATGTCCTGTTGATAGTTGACTCTGTTTAGGACCCGATCAGGGACGTCTCCATGGCAACCTGCTGTGTTATCGCGATGACACCATGTGAACTGAGGCACTGATTGAGAGGCTAGACGAAGCGACTCTCCAGGCTTATGTGCACACACGCACCCATGGACACTTACACATGCGCATATGCAACCCCACCCCGCCATGCCAATAGTTTTATTTACCCAGTCTTTGAGAAAAACACTTGCAAAACTGTATAATATACATCAGATTGCAGAAATAGTGCAGATGAAGACAGTGTGATATGTGGATTATTATTATAATGTTGTAGTGCTGTGAGCCACACAAACAAAATTCCATTCACCTCCATGGTATTGGAGATGCAGAAATCTCAGACACATATTTTAAGACACAAAACATAGTGACTGAAAAGTGACAAAAAGCCCAAACTGGTTAAAAAAATAAAGTGATGGAGGAAGTGTGGGATGTGAAGTGACAGTGTGGATGGTGAAAGTGAGGCAGAGCAGGGAGCATTAAGCTGGTATTTCACTGATCCCTGCCAGGCTAAATGCTTTCTGGGGGCGACTGATTAGCCCTTCGATTGCAGCGATTACAAGAGGTGCTTTCATGTTTTCTCATGACAGTTAGCTGCAGGCCATCATTTAGACCTGTTTGTGTATTTACTATTTTACTGGCATAGGAGGGCTAAAAATGGCTGAAAGGCCTGCTGAGCTCATGGAGGAAAAATGTTAATGAACTCCTTGGATGTTATGTGTTAATTAAAGTCCAGATGAAATGAAAAATGACTTTTTAACCCTTTAAGATTAGAGTCATATTATACACCTATTTAACATTGAATGCCAAAAACTTTACACATTCTTTGTATTTTTACATTCAAATCAATTATTAATATTTTTTTGTGTGAAGTGTGAACCAACAAATTTCAACCAGTATTATCATGACATCCACCCACATCAATTGGAATACAGCATATGGTAAATGGACCTGTACTTGTATAGCGTCTTTCTAGTTTTCCGACCACTCAAAGCGCTTTCACACTACGTGCCACATTCACCCTTTCACATAGATTCACTCAGTGATGGCAAAGCTCAAGGACACTTCGACGTGCAGCCGGAGGAGCCGGGGATCGAACCTTCCGATTAGTGGACGGCCCGCTTTACCTCTGAGCAGCAGCCTCCACAGCACTATTCATTAGTCAGCTAGCTCACAAGAGCTGCGCTCTGCCTAGCAGTTTCTGAACACAAGCACACTTGTATCGCTTGTTCATAACTGTAACGTTATGGCTTGTACAAAAGCGCAAATTTATCAGTGATTTGGGTGAAATTGGATCATATTTTAAGGAGAAAATATTTTCTTGTTTTCCCTCTGCAAAGGAACCGGACTCAAAAACAAAATCCCACCTCTGTACTGTATTCCCTGTTCTCCAACTGGCCTCCCTCAACATCAGATACTGTATTCAGACCCAGTCTGGCCATGCTTTTCAGTAGGACCTCTCAGTCAGCTAACAGGGTCGCTATAGCAACATAGTGATGGGACGTAAGGCATTCAGCGCTATTGGCTACCGAGATGAGTCCCTCTCTAGTTGAAATGTTTTTACAGGTAATTATGCTG